ACGCAAACTCATTTCAATTTAAAAAACATTGTTACCGTTTCTGAAAAAAAAAATAATAATAACATTGTTACCGTTAGCAATGACAGGGGGCTTTCCTTCTGAATTTGTTTTCATCACTGCGTCTGCGTGTACGTTTTACACCAGGCTTTGCAATAAATTTTGTAGTACGGTAGACAATGTCACAATTGGTGTGTGGTGCTGTTAGCCTGTTACCCAAACCACACGTTAACGACCCACCTTAGTTATGCCTTAATTCCACGCAAGTACGTCAGTAATTAAATGTACCCCCACGCGCATAGCAGCAGTCAAAGTAGAGTCAAACACCTATGCCAACCAAAAAAAGGCCACCATGACATATGTAGCAGACGTGGCTAGTACTCATTGGCTAGCAACAATGCAGAACGGCTTCCGACATCATTGGACCCAGATTTTACAGTACTTATTGCAAGCCGAAACAGTGTTCACGTACCAATACTAATTGGTGAAATTAATATTTATTAATTAAAAATTTTTAATTTACAATTAAATATCAAATTTTAATTAAAATTTTATAATATCAAATTATTAATTTTCTAATATAAAAATAGAAAAATAGTATTTCCGTGAAAATAATCATAAAATAATATTTAAATTTAATGACTTAATGATTATCTGTCATGTCGTAAAGTACATCATCTAACTATAAGGCTAGAATGCAAACCCTCGAAATTGTAATATGTTCAAAAAAAATGGCAAAATCATAAGTTAAGCCCCTGAACTAACTGTAGAGTCGCTATTAAGCCCTTAAACTTTAATTGATGCAGTTAAGCCCTTGAACTCTGGGATCAAAGCAATTAAGCCCTTCTTCTTACACTATTAAGCCCCTAGACTTTAATTTTTAAAATAAATTGCTTAAGAAGAAGGGCTTAATTGCTGTGATCCCAGAGTTCAAGGGCTTAACTGCATCAATTAAAGTATAGGGGCTTAATAGTGATTCTGGGGCTAGTTCAGGGGCTTAACTTATGGTTTTGCCAAAAAAATTATAAAAAAAAAGTTATTTCTTAAAAAATTAAATAAATCATAAAAGAAGATGCAAACCCGGGATTATTAATTTGTGTACCTACATACAGCGTAGCATAACATCACCAAACAGCCGAATAACAAAATTACAAATAATATCCGCGGATTGCAGCGTCTCTCACAGTCCTCTCCATCTTCCTTCCTTTCCACAGCAATGCTGTCGCTCTCTCCATTATATTTTCTCCTCCTCGCTGCTTTTGTGGTCAATGGCCGGACAGCCGCCACCGGAGAATACCTTAAACTCCCATTGCTTTGCAAAACCCCACGTCCATCCCCTACTCAGTCCCTACTCCTCGACATTTACCGCCTTTCCCATCTCCACCGCATCCCCGACCACAAGCACAAGCAAATCATTAAATCCCCGGTGGTTTCTGGAGCCCCATCCGGATCGGGTCAATACTTCGTGGAGCTCCGGCTGGGCTCCCCTCCCCAGTCTCTGCTTCTAGTGGCAGATACCGGCAGCGATCTCCTCTGGGTTACCTGCTCTGCTTGTCGCCAGAAATGCTCCTTCCTTCATCGTCCCGGCACCGCATTTCTCGCTCGCCATTCCTCTTCCTTTTCTCCCCACCACTGCTTCCACGCTACATGTAGCCTTGTCCCTCACCCAGACCGGAACCGGTGTAACCGCACTCAACTCCACAGCCCCTGCCGCTACGAATACGAATATTCCGATGGGTCCAAAACAAGTGGCTTCTTCTCCAAGGACACGACGACGTTGAACACCAGCTCCGGAAGAGAAGCTAAGCTCCCGAACCTCTCCTTCGGATGCGGTTTTCGGATCTCGGGTCCTAGTGTCTCCGGCGCCAGCTTCAATGGGGCCCACGGGGTCTTGGGCCTAGGCCGTGGATCCATTTCGTTTACCTCCCAACTGGGCCGTTATTTTGGAAACAAGTTCTCTTATTGCCTCATGGATTACACATTATCTCCGCCACCCACGAGCTACCTCATGATCGGCGGCGGACAGAATGCCGTTTCAAAAAACCCGAAAATGAGCTTCACTCCGTTGTTGATCAATCCTTTGTCTCCCACATTTTACTACATTGGGATCAACGGCGTCTCCGTAAACAACGTGAAATTACAGATTGACCCTTCTGTTTGGTCCCTTGACGAGATGGGCAACGGCGGGACGGTGATTGATTCCGGCACGACTCTGACTTTCTTACCAGAGCAGGCTTACCGTCGGATTCTCACTGCGATCGAACGGCGAGTGGAGCTACCTGGTCCAGCAGAGCTAACTCCGGGATTCGACCTCTGCGTGAACACATCTGGCGGTTCGATGTCGAGGTTGCCCAGACTGAGCTTCAAGCTAAGCGGCGATTCGGTGTTTGCACCTCCGCCGAGGAACTATTTCATCGAGACGGAGGAGGGAGTGAGGTGCCTGGCGATTCAATCCGTTGCCACGGAAACGGGTTTTTCGGTGATAGGGAATCTAATGCAACAAGGGTTCTTCTTCGAGTTCGATAGGGACAGGTCCCGGCTCGGCTTTTCACGCCATGGCTGCACCCTGCGTTAACAATTAAGCAACCCAAGGAGTCTAGAACTCGTTGAGTTACTTTCTTTTAAGTTCGGTGTTTTGCAATCTGTACTTAAATGCAAATTATGAAAATATCAGCCATTTATCAAGGATTCCTTACTAATTGAATGGTTAGTATTTGGTAAGTTAAGGGTGCATTTGGTTTATCAGTTTCCAAATATATATATATATATATATATATATATCAGGAAAGCCAAGTAAATTTTTGTTTAGTTTGGCTTCAAAATCTTAGCACAAGATTTAAAATAAAAAAAATATAGATTTTACAATTATTATAATTTATTATAACAAAGCAAAAAAAAGATAAATTTCCAGAGAAAGAAATATTCATGGGTATTTTGGCTAGAAGCAAGATCCCGGTAAAGTCGATGTTATAATTGGTTACAATGAGATATCTATTATATCTATTTTGAATTGTGTTAGGATTTGAAGCCAGGTCAAAAAAAAAAAACAATTTAATTTTTTTTTTAAATTGATAAACTGAAATACATTTTAAATTATCAAATACCTTTTTTCTATTCATGCTCATTTGTAATATATTTGAATTAAGAAAAATAAAAAAAAAAGTGACATGAGAGAACATTTTATCTAATTAAATTATAATATTTTATAATATTATAATCTAATTAATTAAAAAATCTTTTTGTCCTCTCCCCTCTCTTTTCTATTTCCTGCAACTTAAATTTATTATAAATTAAGTAACTTACTAGATAATTTATTGTTGACAAATTATAATTACAATATTACTTTTTTTTTTTTTTTCCATTTCTTACGGACACCTTCAGAAATGAGTTTCTTCTTCTTCTCTTTCTCTCTCTACCAAAAGGAAAATTAATTATTATTTTCATTTTTGCTTTGGCAAAAAAAAAAAAAAAAATGGCGGACTTGCTTGTGGCATTGGCCTATGAGGTTAAGGCCTTTGGGTATTAAGCGACATTCTGCAGTCACATCAGCAATGCAATTAATTAAGGGGGGGTGGGCCTGCGGTGGTAACAATTCTTTCTCCAGGTCCGTCCTCCTGCTCATTCAACGACCTTCCTATTTCAGAAACTTTCATTCCATTGCTACCAAATATGAGGAAAATTTGACATCACTATGACGGTATATAGAAATGGTGAGTTTCCTCCTGCATTTTCTACTCATTTATTAGAATCAAAATCACGTACGCTATGAGGGAACTCTCAAGCTAAACACCGTATAACATAAACTTTCATTGGCAATTATCTTAAAACTTCATTGACATAATATACTTCCAGGCTTTCAATCCGTTGTTGATGCAATGGTACAGAATCTCTCTCAACACTACATATTTAATTGGGGTTCAGCAGAGCATTTAATAGCAGTACAAAACGCATATATATGATATATTTCTTCTTTTTACGCCCCGTTATAGAGGGAACACAATAAAAATGAATCATTCTCGCATTGCATAACATATATCCCACCTCATTACTCAAATCACATGACACGGCATATATAGTCTACATTCTAGAAAGAGTGCTAGCTAGCTAATAAATTTTTTGAAAGACAAATGGGGACTGATGGAGTAAGGGAAAGAAAGACATGGCAGCTGAAATGAGTGCAGAACCAGCTGGCAAGGTGGGAGAGAAACAAAGCAAAGCTTACGTGGGGCTTCATTTATTCCTCTCACATGATTTCTATTTTCTCCATGTATAGCTTACACCCTTCTCTGCCTAATTTTCTGCCCAACTAATTGTGTTTGGGAGGAAATGGTTGTGGGTCCTTTTCGCCTATCTAGTCTCCTTGATATCATTGCTGTTGGCTGTATTTAATCTCTGTTTGTATCTTCTGTTCTCTACCATGTCTTTCAAGTTACATAATGCAACTCTGAGTCTGAACAGTTTAATGGACCAATTGATTTTGAAAACTTGGGCTTCTTCTATGGTTGTCGTGTCAATCATTTGTGTTTATTGTTCCTTATGGGTCACCAACTTGGGTTGCAACTGTGACACACCAATTCCCTTGAATTGGACCAAGCTGGGTGGAGGATGAGAAACACCTATATGGCCCAACTTGGTTATAGAAGAAGTATATGGGCCTTGCCCCAGGTGATTGTGGGCTATCATTGAGTTAAAGAATGGGCGGAAATGCATCAATTTTCATTGGATTCACCCCAAAAACCATTTAATTCCCAGTCCTAAAAAGAAATTCTTGCATACTTTGAGCATTTATTTATTATATTTGAGTAAATTGACCACTGAATGCTATACAAATTAAAAGATTCTTTTCTCCCCCAGTCATAGACAAGGATGGAGCCAGAAAATTCATTTTGGGGGGGGTGGGGAGGGGGGGGGTGCAGGGGTGCAGGGCAACAATTAGTATTAAAGATTTAAGCTTCCAAAAGTATCTTTTATGATACTAATTCGTTTTTTTAAAATATTTTTTTATAAAAAAGATTCACTTGTGATCTTTTTTATTAATATATTCTTAATAAAAATAGAAATAAATGTATATATTATAATAAAAATAAAATGTTACAGTAATAAATCATATAATGATCAATTGAAGAATGAATTAAAAAAGAAAAATGTGCTTGTTAACAAAATCTTTAAAAAATTAAGAGAAAAAATTCACAAAATTATATTGTTTTAATAAATTCACTTTGAAAAAAATAAAACAATATATTCTCAAAGAGAGTCCTTTGATTTTAGTGAAATAATGTAATTTTGAGATATTTTCCTCCTAATTTTTTTTGGAGGTCATGTTGATAAATACTAATATTGTATAAAAAAAACTATAAAGTAAAAAATACGAAAATATTTATTTTAGAAAACAAACCCTAATTTTGATTGATTTAACGCAAAAAATGATTATAAATTCAATTATGAAAAGTAAAAATATATCTCAATGCCATAAAAAAATTTAAATTATTATATAGAATATTATGAAAGAAAATAAAAAAACACTAAAGAAAATTGTAACTTTAAAGTTGATTAAATAAATAATCAAAATTTTCTTTTTTGAAACTTAATAGATAAGGAAATGTTTAAGAACCTCAATTCCTAATAAATTAAATTATCATAAAATTTATTTTATTTAAAATCATATCCTTATTTTTTAAAAAACTTTTTATTTAAGTCATAAATATTCTTTCTACATTTGAAATGATTCTTGAATTCATGCTATAACACAAAAATTTTAACAAATAAAAATTAGAATACCATATTAAATATTTTTCAATAGTTTAGGGGGGCAGCTGCCCCCCTTCTCCTTCATTGGCTCCGTCCCTGGTCATGGATATATCATTTTATAAATAAACGGTGAACCAGAAGTTATATGTTTAGAAACACATTCCGTTACCCATAAAAATATTTTCCTCTGCTTTTTCCTGAATTTCCCTTAATCTAAATATATGATAAGAATGCAGAACATGCACTTTAGGTAAATAGTAGTCAAGTGCTTTAATCAAGTAGACCAATTTGAGACATATTCCAACCATCAATAACTTTAGTCTTTATATTAAAGGTATTGTGTTTAAATTTTAAGATAAGTAAAAAAAAGTATTATATACATTACCAATTCTACAAAAACTTTAGACCACGATTGCAATTATAAATGTAAAGTTCAAGTTTCAACCGACCATTAGTGAAGGAGTTACTTTTTGTTAAATTCAGAAACTTTGAAAAACATCCATTCTCATTTCATGGGGCAGCGGTTGGTCGGACATATTCTAGCAGCATGCTAGTATAATTAATTTAATCCTGTTTGAGTTTCTTCTAAGCATGTTTGAATTTGATTGTAGTACTTAATTAATTAACAGAGCAAGCTATAATCAAGAATTTGAGAGATCATTGCTTTTGTAATTAATAAAAAAGAATTAAAAAAAAAAAAAAAAACAGCCGAAATCGCAATGATGCGCGTGCATGTGAAGTGTCTTAAGCGTTCGGTTGAAGCATCCCTGACTGCATGCCCAACAGCACTCGCATGCATGCAAATACATCTCATGATCATTATATCTATGTGTTTTTTTTTTTTTGGCTTTATAAGCATTTAAGTATCAGTATTAGTAAAAGCACTGTCAAGAGTTTAATCAACTTAATACTCACTAATTTAAAATTTTTAATTTAAAAAATTAAAATCAAATATTCAAATCTTTGTATTATCAAATAGTTAACAATTTAATTTATCAAAAAAATCATTATTACTAAAGGTAAAACAATTAGTAGTATATGTTTATGCTTCCTAGTAGACCATGATTGCCTAGATATTAACTTTGCTTCAATTTCAGTCAAATTTTCATCCCTTTTGATTAAGTGACATTAATTATAAAGCTAAGTATATATATACTACTGCTATATATGTTAGGCGACACTGGAGGCCACTTTCGGCCTGGGAAATAAATGAATATATATATAAGAGGAAATGTGTACTTGACCACTTGAGAAATGAGAATTGAAAGAGACGTAAGTGTAATTGGATTCAGAAGCACAATGTTCTGCTTTTGGGACACATTTATTGAAAAATTTTAGTGATCTTTTTGACTCAACTGAAAACATGAAAAATGAATGGCATTCCCTTAGAATAATTCGTTGAATTCTGAGGAATTTCGATTAAAGCTGAGATTCTGTTTGGACCCACCAAGAGATCTGCTTGATTTGAACCCCCAGACCCCAGGCATGAAATTGATCATGTAACTCAAATATGAAGGCACCCTTCTTCTTCTTTAACCTGGTTTTGAAATTTGAATCTTGTTCTGTTTACGTTCTTAAATTTTGAATTTGTTATCAAACAATGATATGTTAGAAACTATTTAAAGGTACTGGCGCCCTAAAATTGATACGGATCTCATTTGACAAACAGAATAGTTCATATAAAAAGTTGATGAATAGAAACAGTGGTAGCGCGCACCAAGTATTTGACGAAATGTCTCTGCGAGACTACTATGGGATGAAAAACAGTACCGGGGGAAACTCCCAAAATTACTAGGAAGTCTAACTTATGAATGGAAAAGTACCTATAACTTTGCTTCAAAGATTACTTTTTGACCTTTAGTATATTCCAAGAGTAACTGTGGATAGTCGAATTGTCCTGCAAACTTCTTGGCCAGGAAAAAGGATGAGCAAATCAAAGAGATCCAGAAATCATTAAACACAAATATTGGTGACTTGGTGTAGTGACTGCAGTCTATATAGAAATAGAAAGAAAACCCAAAGAAAAAGCAAAGTATGAAGTTAATTAGTCGAAAAAATATGTGTGCCTTGTCATAGAACTTTGAAAATGTATAATTTTCTTGGATTAAACAAGAGAGATTTACTTATGATCTGTTGGTTCGAGTAGAAGAAATTTAGTTTCCTTTAAATAATATTTCAAGTTTAAGTCTTATGAATGTAGAAATAAACGTTGGGAGAGCTTTTTCTCTTATGGAGTCCGATGTGATTCGATTTTGGATTTGTTGAAATCTAACGTGGTTATTGGATATCGAAAAATTAATATCAAAGACAAGAAAGAATTTTATAAAAAAGAGAGAGATTTTTATAATATCTCTGCTAATTTTATGACAAGGTAAAATTTGTTAGATGGAATATTATAACTAAGAACATTGATTAATACATACTTTGATTCAATATATTGGATAATATATTTATTAAAAAATTATTATATTTTAGTTTAAAATTAAATGCAAGCAAATTTAAATAGACAACCATATATGCATAATATAAAAATTAATTAAATTGGTTGTATTTATATTGTATTTTTAATGGTTAAATTAAATAAGTGTTAAAAAATATATTAAACTGAATGTATATCAATTATTTTCCTATAACTAAACTTCTTAATTAAGACAGTGCACATATGTAAAGCTACCAGTTTGCAGGCCATTCATAGTGGTAGGAAGTTTTTAGTGATAAGAAGCCAAGTTGTTTATAAAGAATCATATAGTTAGTAGAATCTTTAGGTATTGATCCTTGTCTGTTTGCATACAATCTCGGACCACACATTAATATTCAAGATTTCAAGTACATGAATGGCTGCAGATTGTCCTTAATATATACTTCCATATGCTTCACCAGCTGTGGTCCATTAAGCCTTAGCACTCGATCCTCTCATTAAAAAAAAAAAAAAAATTGATGTTACTTTGACGTAGCCAAGATAAATATGTTAGATACCTATTGATGTAAGGATTTGAGATTCATTTGTCGTATGATGTACTAAAAAAAAGTAATTTCATTAACGAGTGATGAGATTTCATCTAATATACCATCTGATTGTCCAAGGTTTTAGTTTCTTTCATATTTTTGCTTCAAATGGTACGTACCTACCTAAATATGTAATGAATTCAAACCAAACACTCATCATAATCCAGAAGCTATATATGTAAGTTTCTTCTCCAATCTATCTAGGACCAACAAAACGCGGGAGCTTCAAGCACAAACAGGCTCTTAAGGAACAAACGTCAGGACAGAGTGAGCCTGATGTCATCATGAACCCCACAACTCTTGGGACAAGCCCTATAAGACCCCTCTATTTCCTCTCGTGGGTTATGAATGTGTTAGTGGTCTGGCAGTTATCATCAAATCTTTGAAAATAGT